TTTCCCTCTCTTTTTCTCTGACACACACACACACACACACACACGCACTCTTTGGCATGAATGAGAATGCCATGCCGCCATGGGCATGCGCGAAGAGAGAATAGGCAGCGCGCGGCAGATGAAAGAGGTTGTGCTGACTTAATCAAGGTGACCCTCGTGACGCGCCCCATCACGACAAGAACGGGAGAGAGAGAGAGAGAGCGAGAGAGAGAGAGAGAGAGAGAGAGAGAGAGAGAGAGAGAGAGAGAGAGTCAACTGTCAGAGGTTCTGTACCGAAAGGTAATTCATCCGGGCTGAAAGTCAGGATAGCTCGGCTCAGGCGCATCAGCAGAGAGGCACTCCGCTCGCGTCCACCAACACACAATGGAGTAAACAGAACCTGGGCGGCGCCGCGCGGCCCAACCTGTACCGCCGTGACGAGGGGCTTGGAGCTGATGCCGTCCGTGTTAGTAGTAGGCATGGCGATGGCTATTTAGGAACGCGCCTTGAGTCAATGGTGTGCACCCGAAGTACAGGGATGTCCGTTCCATATCGCACTGCGCTGCTGCGGCTGCGGTTGCGCGGTTGTTACTTTTTGTTTAGGAGGAAAATGGGGGGGAAAAGCATTTTTAAGACAAACAAACAGTTACAAAATGATAATATGAAATAAACAGGCGCTTTGATTAATTAATCAGCAATTTAATAAAGCTTTCGTTGAGTACATGCAGTCCTGCACCTCATTTTGTGAGTGGTGTATATACAGCCTAAAATTGTTTTTGTTTCTATCCATAGGTATCCTAAATAACCCGGCATTGGTACTAACATGATAGTTGTAAAGTTAAGTATCATGCAATGAACTACCAGTTACATATTTTACACAGTAATTTCTAAAGTCACAGGTACTTTGATTAAAAAATAAAGACTCTAAGAGGTAACTAGAAAACTAGACAGACACAACTAATATCAAAGGGATGCAGGGATTTAATATGGCATGCAGTTAACCGTATCCAAAAAAAATAATGTACATCTATTCATAATGCTCGTAATATACAGTGCACAAATCACTCAGTCTTTCATGCGACGAGAGAAAAAAAAATGTGGCAACTTTAAGAGACGCAATGTACGAATCCTATATTTTTTTAGCAAATTCTGTAATTAGATGCAAATTTTGATTCTGCTTTTTTGGCACCTCCGCCTACCGTCTTCGAGAAAGCGGCAAGTCTCCAGGTGAAACAGGAACTAACGACTAGTGCCCGCCCCACGAGCGTGAGTTGCGATGCCGCCCAATATTTCTCCTCATGGGATTAAATTAATTTTGGTAGATCCCTTGCTGTTTGACCGAACTGGAGTAGTGGCGCGTCGCCTTCCTCTATTTACGCGTTGAGATCGTCCACCTCGGAACCCACCTTCATGGGGATCTCGTTCTCGGAGTGGTTTGGCGCCGGGGTGACGTCCTCGCTGTTGCTCCCCTGAGGCTCCAGGGACTCCGCGTCGCCGCTGTCGCTCTTGTTACCCGTCTTCTCACCGTCGTCGGCGCTCGCCGACTCTGGCGCCTCGGAGGGGTGCACGTCGATGACGCGGATGTGGAGCTCGGCGCCGTCGTCGTCGCCGCTGATGACGGTCTCGTTGACGGTGATGACGTGGCCGTCGATGACCTGCGGGTGGACCACGCGACGCCAGTTTACCGACGGGGGCGGCGGCGGGGGCAGCAGCGGCCCGCTCAGCGGGAAGTGTCGGGGCGGCAGGACACCGGGCAGCAGGCCGGGCAACAGGGCGCCAGCAGGTGAAGCAGGCGAAGCAGGCCAGCGGGCAGCAGGAGGAGAGAACCTGTGCGCGAACTGAATCGAGTCCGGCCAGACATGCGGAAGGGAAGCATGGAAGCGTCAGAGAGAGAGAGAGCGTTAGTTGTTCCAAGGCGCGAGCGCAAAGAGTAAAAGGCCAGAGGTTAAAGCTGGTATGGAAGAGCTCGAAATGGACAGCAATTAATTGTAAGCACCGGGCACTCATCGAACGATGTGCCATCAGGCAGTGACAGCAAGGAAAATGAAACAGCAATGTTTTCAGCAGATGTTTGAGTCGCAGAAACATGTCAGAGCACAGACGGAAAGCTTTCGAGTGGCTGCGGGCGGAGTCACAAAAGCGCAACAGAGGGTGGAAAAAGTTTCCACAAAGCATTTGAATGAGCCGCTGCTGTCCCTACGACGATAAACTAACAAAGGGTCTATCCTCTTAATCTACACTCGACAACAGGTTATTTTTCTTTTTGTAAAAGTCTGTCATCTCAACGGCTTCCTGTAAAATGTGACTCTGGTAGGTACTGAGGGTACTGAAGTCACTAGATTAAATACCTTGGTGGTGGACGTGGTGTTGCCGAGCTTGGAGAAGTCGGGAGAGTCGTCCCTGCTGGAGCCACCTCCGCGGCTTAGCACTTCGGTCATCTGGCGGCGCATAACAGCCATCATTTCTGCAAAAACCAAAGTTGTTGGTTTTTCATCGTTTTTTTCTTTCTTTAATAATTAATTGTATTAAATGAAAACTGTGAGAGACAGGCAGAGGTTGCACTAACCAGCCATTTGGGCCATGAAGTTATTCATGGGGTCGCTGAAGAAAGGGGTGATGAAGCCACCCTCTTCGGACGAAGCCTCGTCGGAGTCGGCGCGGGTCAGGACGGGGTGCAGGGCCAGGGGCCTGACCAGGATGGGGCGCCCGCCGAAGCCGCCGCCGAAACCGCCGCCGATGCGCCTGACCGGGATGCCGAAGGCGAAGGGGATGTCCCCGGTGCTCTCGTCACTGGCGTCGCTCTCGACGGGCACGACGACGCCGCCGCGCGAGCCGCCTCGCGAGCCACCCCTGCTCACGGGCTCCACCACCTCCACGTCGCGGTCCGGGTTGGACTCCTGGGCCGCGCGGCGACCGAACGAGGCTGGAACAAGCA